TGGAGAAGAAGTAAATGCAGAAGATAAAAACTTTGGGATCGGCTTTGAAGGCTATAACTATATATAGAGCTTTTAAGTGAGTACAAGCGAGTCTCTTTCTCTCTCTTCTTCTGATCTTTTAAGGAGAGAGAGAGAGAAAGAAATGCATGAGGAAATGGGAAAAGAGAAGACGAAGGTCAAAGATGGTCAGAGGAGAGACATTGGAAAATGAAACATAGCAAGTGTCCTTACATTTATGTTGCGGCTATGTCAATAATGTGTATATGCTTATTTTTATTTTATAAGATGAATGGTGAAATGGTTATGCCAATTATTGTTTTGATGATTTCGCTCTTTCATTCTTTATAGTATCTTTTTAATTTTTCTGATATTTTAGGCGATTCTACGATCTTGTAGATTTGGATGAATTCACCCTCCGGTTTGTAAATTTTGATTCGTTTCGATGTTAAAAAGTTGAAAGATTAATCAGATTTGGCTAAAATCTAACCACCTAAAAGCCCGATGTTTACACAAATACTGAAATAATTTTTTTTTTTGTAGGTTCTATAGATGTGTTGTGTAATCTTTCGGTTTATCCTTTTTAACCCTAATCTTTCCATTTATCTACAAAAAAATCAATTGGATGAGAATTCAAGTTGTGTAAAAATTGATATGGCTTTGACCTTGGCAAAAGAAAGATAGTGGTTGGGATGAGAGGTACGATGACTTGGTTGAAGAGCATTTTCTTTAGTTTCTGCTTTTGTTGTGAAGTGTGTTAAGTTTCTCATTACTATAAGCCCTTTCATGAAAAAGAGAGCAGTTGTATTACTATATTTAGATTCATAGATATGAAATTCTTTTATGCTATTGATAAATGTAAAAGGGGGAGTTGTGAAAATATCCCAAATTTCATAGTGTATTAGGACAATGGTCAATATCATCTATCAACAAAATATTTTAAAACATAATTAGTTTCATGCTATAAATTCAATATCATATGCCCTAAATCCTAACTCTAATTCACGAAAACACAACTTCTTAGCCCTAACAAAAACAAAATGGTATAATTCTGTAATTCTAGGTTATTATTGTCTTTCACGATTTTTCTTATAAATATTTGCTAAGTCAAAGAGGTTCTTCTCTCATCCATCTTTTGTCATCACCACCAAACTCGGCACGTATAGGTTTGTTCTAATTTGATTCTCTTTGATATTTTCCCGATTTAATAAAAGATTTTGTATATGTCATCTTTGAAATAAATGCAGAGGTATCTACTATATGAATTTGAACCACACCGTGTTCATACACTCTACGGTCAATAAACTATGGTTTCTATATATTGCCAAGAATGGAAACAACTACATATGGATCACAAATTGTTTGAAATTTTTTTTTTTTGTTCCTTTAAGAGTTATAATAGCACAAGTTGATCATAGGTAGAAATATAAACTCCGCACCACAAATGTTTCTATATCCATTAGTCTAAAATCGATAAGTTTATCAACATCTTGTGGGAATTAGAGAAGGTGATATGTCGTATTCGTTGTGGTTTATTTTTATGGAATGTTTTTTTGAAAGTGTGAAACTCTTATCTAATGAAACAAAAATTCTCCTTTTGTTTAATGTGATGTTCTTCTTTGGAGGGTTTTTTCCTGAAGTATGATTAGTCTCGATTTGCATGGTTTATTGACTTGTAGCTTGTAGTTATAGGCTTCTTATTCAAATCCAACTGCTTTTTTATTCTCTTCGTCTAACTATTTCATCATCTTCTTCTTTAATTGGCTCCTATACTGATCAAAAGTACCCATAAATAAGACAATATAGGTAATCAATCCTTTTAATAGATTGGTCCAATTTGTCTACTTATATGATGTGGTTGTTCGGTTCACGTGTATGGTGTCTACATGTTAAATAACTTACCATTAAAGCAAATTCATTTTTTATTCGTTTTGGTTATTGACGGCAAGTAAATTCTTTGTTATGTACCACAATGTTTCTAACGAAATTACTTAACATATACACTATTGTTTTTAATATTCAAACTCAAACATTATCATCAAGCAGAACATACTGATTTCAAATAAACTATATCAAACTAATCATAATATGTAGCCAAATGGTAGTGTACTAGTGGTTTCCACTTGGATTACATAACTACATATATGAATCTATTTTCCTAGATAACCTAATTATATGACTATATATGATGAATCTATTTTTTAGATAACCTAATCAAATGGGTTTCTATTAGGCTTGAAATGTTGGACTTCTCATGTGTGTTTCAACATATTTTTGATATTATGTTTTTAAAGGGTTCTTGATTTATAGTTTATATATTCAAATGTAAAACCACCATCATAGTTGTGATAATCTTAAGTTCGACTCCAAAATCTCTTTTTTCCTACTTCATATATTTACAATAGATAGTTTATTATATGGTTTACAGCAGCCAAGCTTTCATAGCTCAGTTGGTTAGAGCACCCGTTTAGTAAGCGGGAGGTCTTGAGTTCAACTCTCAATGAAAGCATATTTACTATTTTTCATTTTTTCCCCGTAGTTTTTGCTAAACGTATCCTTTTGTTTTCTACATGTACAGAAACAGACCGTAAATTTTTGAACTTTCAAATACGACCCCTACTGTCGAAGGCTTTTTTATTTTTAATCCTCCCGTTTCACAGTCTCGCTGTCTCCGATTCTCTCCTTCTTTTCTCGTCGCCGTCGCAATTATTCCTCTTTTCGGTAAGTTCCTCTATCATTCCCTTCTCCTCTATCGACTTTCGCCGTGTAATCTCATCGCCGATGCTGAAAATAGCTCTCTTTTGTTTCACCAAGTTTTTTTTTACTCGAGCAGGGAATGTGTTCGATGAAATGTCTCAAAGAGGATTTCTTGGATTCATACATGATTTAGTTTGTGATTTATGATTGTGTTTATAAGATTAATGTGACTTAGGAATCCTTGCAATTGTTTCTTTTCTTGTTTTCACTAATTGCTCCCGTTCAATTGTTAAAACTATACACAGATTACTCTGGATCTAATGCTGATGTGCTTGTTTTGGAATCGAAATTTCTTGTCTTTAGAGACTAGTGTGAAAGAAATGAAACCTAGTTGAGTGCAGTGACATAGAAACCTTAATTTCGGTGACCCTTTTCATTCTTCAGAACCGATCCGAACATTTCAGCATCAAGTTTGTAACTTTTTATGAGACAGTAACCATTTCGGCTTTAAGAGAGTATGTCTGAATCTTGTGATTGAAAGGTTTACCTTTTTTGTTAAATCTATCAGACTACAAGGTGTGATTTTGTTAAATTGTTAATTTTTCATTGCGTAGTTTACTTTAACAGGTTGGTTTCAAGGAAGATGGCTAGTGGTAGCCTGAAAAGCCTTGTAGCTTCTGCAGTCACTCGTGGAGTGACCGAAGCAAGAGCAAGGATTTTCGGACATATGCTTAATCCAACAGGACAGAGATCTCCTCATAAGATATTAAGGAAGAAGCTTTTTGGTGATAAAGTTGCACAATGGTATCCATATGATATCAAGAATGAGGATCCCAATGTCATGGCTAGAGAAGAAAAAGAGTATTTAACCTCTCTCTCTTCTTTTTCTTTCCTACTTTCCTATAAATTGCTTTGTTTATCATATCAATATCATGGAATTAACCTAGCCTTAGACTGTTTTTGAGCTGGATTGAGCCAGTGCCTAGATAACATAACAAGTTAACTCTTTCATCAACCTTATATGCATTACAAGAGATTTTCTTACACCCAATTAGTCTAGAGATTCTGGGGACTCTTAAGAAACAAAGATGATTAAGAACAAAAGTAGGTTTCTCGATTTCCCGAAAAGTGAGATCATAGCTGATGGTTTTAGAGAGATTCCGCTAGTGATATTTATGCGGGAGAGACTAGAGTGATTGAGCGTGGGAGAGATAGGAAATTGGCATTACAACTGTGGAATTTTAGATTGTAACGGAATTAGATTAATGCTGTTTAGGTCGGGTTAATGGAGTTTCATTTTGGTGATTTGTTTGAAACTTTGTTATTGAGTTCTTTAAAGAGAGAGTACGAATATTTTTTCGACAAAACTTGAAAGTTTGGTATTCTCTGGCATTCCTCCCCATAATTCCACAACGTATACTTCAAATGCAAAGCGTGTAAAAGTATTTTCTGCTGACTTGGTGGATTATAAGAAAGAAACTAAATTTAGATTGTATGAGTCTTGTATGTGAAGCTTATGTAGTGTTCTGTTCTTGTTGAAATGCAGCAAAGTAACTCTAGGGCAAGAGAATTACCCGTTTCGCGGATATGTTCTTATTTGAAAAGGATAGGTTTAAGGATTAGTACATGTCTTTGAGCTTCGCTTACACTTAGTTTAATTCACTGGTTATGTTATTTGTTATATAATCTGTTGAGTGAGAGGTCTTGTAACTTGAGTTTGTGTGTTGTTGTAGGCGCATATCGAAGCTAGAGATGTTGAAGCGTCGTGACAAAGGACCACCAAAGAAGGGTCAAGGAAAACGTGCTGCAAAGCGTAACAAGAAGTAATCGTAGCTACAAAATGAAAACTCTGCACTTTTTTTTTAGAATCAGACTCTTCTGATTAAAAATCAGATAGAAACTTGTTAGTAAAAATTTCTCCTACTTAAACTGCATTTTGGTTTACAATGATCCTAAGCTTGAGATAAAGTTGAAAACTATTTTGCTTCCTTCCCTTTTGACACAATGTCTTAAACCAAAATTATGTGTTGTTTTGTAACACAATGTCTTTTGTTGCTATTGCCCATTTTTGCCAAAGATGATAACATTCATTGAACCGGTGTGTAAAGAAAAAGTTAAAAAAGAACCGAACTTTGAGATGGTTGGTGTTACCTGTCTGCGAATATAGTCCACGTGTGTGAAATGGTTAAAACTCAAACGACAACATTTGAAAAAGGGAAGATGTCCAATTCTTGAACTATTCTTTTGTCACTTATCCAAAATATAGTCCAAGAATTGAAAGATTCAGAGAGAAAATGGAGGAAGCTTTGAAGATTCAGTCTTTGTTCATTTATCCGATCAAATCTTGCCGTGGAATCTCTGTTCCTCAAGCAACCGTAACTACTACTGGTACAATTACGAATCATCTTCTTCTTCTTCTGTTGGGTTTATTCCCGAGAAAGAAAGTTTCGTTTTTTATAGTTGGTATGAGAAAAATGACCTTTGGATTATTCTTGATTTCTGGGATTTTGATCTGCTTCTGTTCCGTTTTATGATACCAGAAAAGGGTCTTGTTTGATTGGATGGAATCAGTGAGCAAATTTCCCTGGAAAATGCTATAGTGATCGAATGTTTGACTAAGAAATTGTCTTGGTGTGGATCTAATGAATGATTCCATGGGATTAATATGTGGAAACTGATGTAGGGTTTCAATGGGACCGGTATTGGTTAGTTGTGAACTACAAAGGAAGAGCATACACTCAAAGAGTTGAGCCAAAGCTTGCTCTTGTCGAATCGGAGTTGCCTAAGGAAGCTTTCTTGGAAGATTGGGAGCCAACAAAGAATTCGTTTTTGGGTGAATTTCTGTTATAGAAAGTTACAAATGTGTTTGTCTGAATCGAGGCTGGCTTTTTATTATTGTCTGGATTATTCATTTTTGCAGTGGTAAGAGCTCCTGGTATGAGTCCGTTAAAGATACCGATGACTAAACCGAACTCGGTGGCGGAAGGTGTTTCGATGTGGGAATGGTCTGGCTCTGCGTTTGATGAAGGAGAAGAAGCTGCAAAATGGTTTACAGATTATCTTGGAAAACAAAGCCGTTTGGTTCGGTTTAATAAAGGTTTTGATTCTTTCTTGTTCTTGTGAATCTTTTCATTTGCAACAAATTTTGATGCTTTGAGTTGATCAAGTCTTTGTTAATTTTGATACAGAAACTGAAACTAGACCTTCGCCTCCTGAGTTTGCAGCAGGTTACTCTACAACATTTGCAGATATGTTTCCATTTTTGGTTGCATCTCAGGTGAGTCGATATCTCGATAATAATTCCAATATCGGTTCATGAGAATACGCTATTTGATCTTCTTTCTACTTTATGTGCCTAGGCTTCTTTAGACCATCTGAATACACTTCTGCCAGAACCGGTGCCTATGAACCGTTTTAGACCCAAGTAAACTATCATTCATCCTGAGATCTTAATATCTTCAATGATGATGGTTGTTTTGTTCATGATCTAGATTTTCTTGTTTCTCTTGTAGTATTCTTGTCGATAACTGTGAACCATTCGGTGAAGATCTTTGGGATGAAATCAAGATAAACGATTTAGTTTTTCAAGGAGTTAGGCTATGTAGCCGCTGCAAGGTGGATATGATGTGAACTGTAAAGTACAGTCAGATTCTCAACTCGAGGCTTTTTAACCACTTTGTTCTTTCAGGTACCAACTGTGAATCAAGAAACCGGGGTTCCGGGTGCAACAGAACCAACTGAAACTCTGATGAAATTCAGATCAGACAGTGTCTTGATGCCGGACAAGAAACCGCGTGGAAAGGTAAGATATAAGCTATTGTCTGGTCTTGAGAAGAGACTTGTTGGATACAGAATGATGCTAAATCGGTTCAACTAACTGATATCGATTTCGGGTTAATGACAGGTTTTCTTTGGTAAGGAGATGGTTTGGAATTGGAACCTAACCAACAGTGAAGGCAAAGGTAAGAAGACAATCAAAGTTGGTGATACCATCTCTGTCTTAAGGAAGATCCCTTCCAGAGCTGAAGCAGCTGCTTAAGTCAAACATATAATCATTTGG